CAAGACACAGAAAAAAATATATATAAATCTTTTAATGAAAAGAAAAATTATTAAGAAGCAAAATATTTTTTAAATTTTAAATATTTTAAAAATATTTTACTTATTAATAATTTTTCTTCCTTTCGTTAAAACATTTATGATTATTTTCCATGTCTCCCTCGTCCTTTTAACTTATTTTATGGTAACTTTTACTCAGCTTGTGTATATATGCAGCTGTTAAATATATATATATATATATATATATAAGCTACTCAGAAATTAAAAGAAAAGTAGTAAAACGAGTTGTCCGTGAAGGTGAAGATCTGATTAAGCGATTACAAACGTACCAAATAAATATCCCACGAGATAAAAATCAAAGAAAACATTTAGACATTATCTGAATAACAATGTTTGTATGTCCGTCACACTGTTTGAACAACTACCTATAGAGCTACTTTGAAAAATGCCGAATTAATCCTAAATTTATTTCGCTGTTTAAAAAGAAATTGTTGATTAACTTAATACCCTCATAAATAAATCGATTCCTTAAGATAATCTTTAATTTATCAAACTAAATCTTTAATCCTTTTTAAATGCCTAATCTTAGTATTTAGTTGACTAATAATACTTCCTAGTTGATCTGTTTTTATGCAAATCTTAAATTATATCATGGTTAATTAACGAAATAAATTGTGGAATTTTAAAGAGCTTTTAACTATTGATTTTAAATCGTTTTGTTGTTTGAAGATTAAAAATAAAAATACTAAAGATTTTGCTAAAAAAGTAATTTTTTTAAAAAAAAAATAAAAAAAAAAAACTTTCAAAATTACTATTATATTGTAGTTTGCGTAAAAAAATAAAAATATAATATTTATACAACTATTCTTTTTAAAATATTGAATTTCATTTTGAATGTATTCAGTTTTTATAAAGCTTATTATATAATTTTAAATTGGGAATTCAGAAATAGAAACTGAATTAGTACTTAAAAATAGCTTTCCCATTTAAATTTCAAACATTAAAAAATAGAAGAGTTCGTTGAAAAATGAAAAACAAATGTGTTTATACTTTTTAAATTCATTTAAAAAGTTAAAATTATTCATAATACAGTCAATTTTTGTAAAATGTATAAAATTTATTGTTATAAACTTTAACTCCTTTTTATAATACTTTTTAAAAAATAAAAAATAAAAATGACATTTTCTAAAACCTGTTATATAATATAAAAATAAAGTGTGCATAAAATGAATAAATTTTATGATCATAGCATAAGGCACACAAGGATATATCAATGAGAGACTAATGTTGTCAGTATAAGGTAAACTTTATGATCATAATCTAACATAAAGAAAGATATCGTAATCAAAGACTAAAAGATGAAATAATTAGGTAAATTTCATGATCTTAACATAAAACAAATAAAACTATAGCGATCGGAGATTAAAATAAGTTTTATGATCATAGTTAAACAAAGGCATACCAATAAAGGACTAAAGTTTTAATACGGAAAATTTTACGATCACAATATAAAACAAACAAGGACATAGCATTAAGAGATTAAAACTGTTGCTTACAAAATAAAAACTTTTATTAAACTGCTTATTGTTAAAAAATTATTAATCTGTTTATACGTGGACTAGTGCTAAATAATAATTTAACACAATACTTCCATTTCTATTATAATAATATCACAACTTAATGATGAAATATTTCATAGCAAAATTAATTTTTAAATCATTTTTCATCCAAAAACATCACATGAAAAGTATTATTTTTCATTATTAATTTTTGCATGGATTTTAAAGGGAAGGTTTTTTTAATATTGCTAATAATTTATAATTTTTACAATTGCAAATAAATCATACAAATTTATTTAAAATACTTATCCCTTTAAATATGTCATTAAAATTATAACTTTTACATTAAAACAATTGAATCTTTTTTTTTGTATTTTAGTTTAATAAATTTTAAATTTAAATATAAAATTAAATTATGATACGTTCTAGTTGATTTCATTTTTTACTAGTGAACTTAAATTTTTACATTCACTAATAAAATAAAATTTTTACTTTTACAAAAAAAAAAATTTTTTTTACAATCAAGGTTCTTTATTTAAAGCTTGTAAATCCCTATTGATATCATCCCAGAAATTCACGGGCAGCAAGGAAACAACATTTTTTATATATTCAAATGGTTACTGTGAATGACCGAAATTGGTGAATGTTGACTTAGACCGGTGAATGTTGACAATCACATAGTCGCTTTGGTAAATGCCCGAAATATATACTAGGTCTAGTTAAGTGCCACTGCCCAGTATACCCTACATCAAAGTTTTTTTTAAGGTTCACAACCACTGCCCATTATACATTTCCCCGGTATGCCCTACATCAATGTTTTTTAAGGTCAGGTACCACTGCCCAGTATGCATTTAACTGGTACCCCGAACACTGATGTTTCTCCTAATCTATCCTCAACAGATATTAAAATATCGAATAAATATAACAATATCAACGAATAAATTAATATAAAATCCGATGTAAAAAACATTTCGGACATTCACCAAAGCGACTATGAGATTGTTGACATTCACCGGTGAAAGTCGACATTCTCTTGATTTCGGTCATTCACGATAACAGATATACATGAAAACATATTCACTTAAGTCTACTGGATTCATACAATGTAACCAGATAATGTAATGACCTACACGAAACGCTTTTTCATTGATGAAAAACCCCCGAGCTAGAAGAGATGCTTTTGGGAATAGACAGAAGATGGTGAAGCGTTTATTATTCGTTCCCAAACGGGTGATTATGAAAATTATGATCACACACTAAAAGGAATGAATAAATATTTCATTTTATGGTGAAGTCTTCCAGGAATTTAAATGAAAAGTACATTAAAGATTTAAGATTTTAAACGTATGTTTAGTTATTATGCAACGAAAACTACTTATTTAAAGCTTTATGTCAAGTAGATTATGCGAACTCATTTAATACTCTCGAACCTGATTTAAAAATCTGCATAGACTTTAAGCAAGTTTAAATCAAGCGAGGTTATTTTAGATCTTTTATTTCTTTAGTATTGAATGGCAACAATTACTGATAACTGACTTCCTCTAATGAGGTACATAATGAAGGTTTTAAAGCTTGTTCAGTTTGAAATTAAGACTATTTAGAGTATTTTAAAAGTAGAGATTTCTTTACGAAATATTTAGATTCATTTATGAGAAATTTAGAAAAGAATATTAAATATATTATAATGTATAGTAAATATTATATCTGACTCTAATGATAATATAATAAAAAAATAAAGAAATATCATTCCTTATGAGAAGAAAAAAGTAAAGATAAGATAAAAGTCTTCGCTTTAAATTCTAGTTTCATTTCTTTTTTTTAAATTGTTTAGTTATCTTATAGCATATTGCACATATAACGATTCATTTGTTTTTGTTTCATACAATATAATTAATAATCAAAGAGATATTGATCAGAATTTCGTTATTTATTTTGTAATTGTCTATGCAATATTGCCAGAACCATTCAAAAAAATTATAAAGTGACGTATAGGACAAAATTAACGAACACTTCTGACTACATGGAGCCTAAATACAATGCCGATTAAAATGATCCAGTCACTCAGCACACAATCACCATTTTTTTTTAATGTCAAAAATGCACTACACCCAGATATTTTTTAAGCAAAAATTCAATTATTGTGAATATTTCAAAATATAATTAATTTATAGAGTAAAATTACTTTATGTCACGCTTGTTTCTTCAGATCTTCCCTTGATTTTAGCTACATCTGTAAAAAAGGGTACTTACGAAAAATGAACTAAACAGGTTTGTTTTTCATTATAAATGTTAATCACGTCTTAGAAAAACATGCATTTTAGAAGCAATGAAATTCTTATATCATTGCTTAGCTCTTTGTAAGTGGGTGAAACAATTTTTGTTCAGAATTTAAGATTAAAAAGTATATTTCTTGCATATTAAATATATATTATTTATCCTCTTGCAACAAATTATAAGCTCTTTTTATAGAAATAAAATTAGCTAAATGTTTAGACCCAATTGAGCCGCATTGAACAAAATCTTTGTTAAAATTGTACAAAACTATTGTAAGAAAAAAACCATTTATATTACACAAGAACACGCGCGCACATCTTGTAACAAAATTTTTTTTTGTTGAATATTTATGAACTATTACGAGTTATATATTTGTTCATTCGCAAACTTTTTTCCTATAACCTAGTAACTTAAACTAAATAGATTTTGTCTCCGAATTTTCAAATTAAAAATATATAAATATTGGGTACTATCAACTCGAGAAGAAGAATACAGCGGAAATCATGTGGTTGTGCTTGGCGTGTTAACGTTACAGCTATTAGGCTTGACTTATCATCAAGCTGAATCCAATTTTTGAATTCATTTAATTGGATGACAGCAAGCAACGTTACGCGTATGTGTTGAACCTGATTGGCTGCCGAATCGTGGTATAAACAAAGGTCATAATTCACACACGTGACGTCGCTTACAGGTATTCAATTCTTAGATTCTCTAAATAATTCTTTCAATAATCTCGATTTTTCAATCATTTCAATGATCTTTAGTGTTCTTTTTCAATAGCTCGGTTAAGCACAGACTCAAAAGCAAGTCTGTGAGAATTAATTTTAAAAATATTCATTCTACTAATATTTTGGCGAACACTTTTAAATATTTCTATATATAATTTTCATAAAATCAAAAAAAAAAAAAAAATTTAATTCCTTTTCTTTTAATTTACAGGTTTTAACTTTCTGTTTGCTGGAATCGAAATCGAGTTTTGATTCCAATTTCGACACCACATAATCTGTAGATTACGCTGACCACAACAATTATGAAAAATAACATATAATTCGTTACTAAGTAATATTTTATAAGATGTCAGTGTCTTCAAAACACAGCCTTTAAAAAATATTCGACAAAAAATCCTTTATAAGCATTAGATAAAGTTCCTAAATAAATTTAAAAACTTACTCGAACCTTTTATTGAAATCGAAAATTTCACTTTCCGTTATATTTCAGAAGTTTTTGTCATCGCCAAAGAAGGATAAATCTCACCATCCAGCAACCCAGGCCGCAGAGAATGGCGCGCGAGTGCTTTTCCCAATGAATATGATTACTCCGGCAAGTTTTCTCTCTCGCTCTTTTAGCAGTGTGCTCTTTTAAAAGCGGGGTCGCCCTTATCTGTCAGAACCACCCGTTCTTCTGAGTGGAGAAGAGGGGTAGGGAGAACAGAAATAAGCACGCGCGACGCCCTACGCGTTTTATTGACGCGTGCCTAGCACAAAACCGTCATTAGAGAAGGGACTATTTATTTATTTATGAAATTCAGGATCGCGTTTTAATGTCATCGTCGTGGGGTTACTCGTTTTCCTTTGCTTAGTTTTGATGAAGCTTTTCTGAATTACTACTAAGTAATATAAACGTGTGAAGAAGGTGTCGGATTTGGGATTATTACTAGAAGAAAAATAAGGATACGAAGGGGGGAGTATTCCCCCCCCTACGTTTATCATTATGATTCTTGGAAATGTGTTCGCGTGGGGAACCCAATTCTCCTACATAATTTTATGCTATAATTTTTAAGTAATGAATAAAAATGTGTAATGTGAAAATGTCGATTTATTTTTTTTTCTTTGTTTTTAAATTAGCTTTTAATAACTTTACTTGATTAGCGAAAACAACTCTCGCAGTTAGGAATTCAAAACTATGTTTCTTTAATCCTTAAGAATTGAAAATCACATTTCCTTAAATTTCGAAACAAGTCACAGACAAAAATATTTTGTCACAGATTTTTTTTCTGTTATTTTTATAGCAGATAAAGTTATAACATTGAGCAATGCAACTCAAATCTCGAAACAAAATACTAACAATAAATTCTTTTTTTTTTAAATTTCAATTAAATATTTTTAAAATATTATCAATCAAAATTTAATAGTTTTAATTCACTTTAACTATCTAAAATCGTGCCATATATATA